GCAAATACCTTTAGAACTCAAGCCAACCGATTGATGTGGGTCTATGGATAACTTTAGAGAACACTTACATTTCCTATTTGATCCTGGACCAGATATTCAAAATTATTCTTACTTCCTGGGGTTAGGAAAAAGATTCCCATTTATTTTACTCACATAGCCCATGAGTGGTGGAAATCAGGTCCCGTGGCTCTGAACTGGGTCTGTCCGACCTTAAAGTCCTCAAGGCAATATTTCACCTTCATAAAAATTCACCACCACTCCGGTTTCAATGTCTTTGTGACAGAAATGCTGAGGGGTGGTGAGCTGGTAGGCAGAGAAAGCCTGGCAGGAGGCTACCTACAAAATATAAATGCTCTAGTGTGCAAGGGTCTCGAGGAAATCTTTTGGCACATTTGATGGATCCAGTTAGTGGAAGTCAATTCTATTTAAAGGCTCTGATCAAAACTAACTGCCCATCACCTTGTAAAAAAAGAAATGACCAAAGATAACAAAAAGTGTGTCACTGGTCAGAGTGTCTGGCTGAAAATGTGGCTTGCGTCAAAGAATGGTATCCTCGGCTTCTTTCTTGGCTTATCTCCATTTCTCAGCTGTCAAGTAGTGGAGGAGGCTCACTCTTTGCCAAATTTATGCTTATTTCATGATGGACAAAATAGTCTATGAAAATGTTCCTTTGTGGCCTAGTCTAATTGGAAATTTAATCAGATTTGGTTATTTCTCTTTGTATGATCTGAAAAAAATCGTAAAAATGGAAATCCTTAAAACATTCTAAAATGTGAAATTCTGACAAATACAGATACCATTCTCTTTATTATTCCAATGTAGACTGACTTCTTCCTAAGACTCTCAAAACCATATTTTTTTGCAGTGCTGGGGATTGAACCCAGGGTCTTTTGCGTGCTAAAGAAGCACCTTACCCCTGAGCCACATACTCTGCTCTCCACTAAAACTCTGCTGCTCCTTATGAGCACTGTTGGGAGGCGGTGAAGAGCCGGGGAAGGGCCACTGCACAGGAAGATGGGGGCTTCTTGGCAGAAGGCCAGGGGTTCCCCAAAGGTCCTGGCCTACTTCACCCCTCGGTCCAGCATCCACACACCTCAGGCCCACAAGTTCACAGCTGGTGACTGAGGTGCCTAGATAGTGACTGTGCCTGCTTCCAGTTTTCCACCTAATCTCACAAAGGTAACCTCCAAATCTGTCTCCTATCTCCGTGTGAGAGTTCACAGAGACAATGTAGACCAAGTGGTAAGTACTGGGCCTGGCTTGCAGTAGACACCCAAGAGTTAACTATTATTCCATTTTTTAAAACCTTTTTCAACTTGCCTGTGAGTTTCATGAAGGCTAAGGCAGTTCTCTTTGATGGATCACCAGCGCCCAGAACGGTGATAGATACATGGCACAAGCTCAATAAATATCTGTTAAACAAATGCAGTCAGCTCTCCACACCCACAGGATATCTATGGATTCAACCAACCATGGATTGAAAATATTTGCAAATCTATCGATCTATCTATCTGTCTATCTTCTGTAATGCACATGTACAGATATTTTTCTAGTCATTATTCCCTAAACAATACAATATAACAACTATTTACCAATCGTTTACATTGTTTTAAGTATTCTAAGTAATCTAGAGATGATTTCAAGCAAGTGGGAGGATTTATATAGGTTATGTGCAAATATTACACCATTTTATATAAAGGACTGGCACATCTGTGGATTATTATCCCCTGGGGTTCTGGAACCACTCTCCCATGGATCGGAGGAATGACTCTATAAAACATGACCAGACTGAGAAAACCAAGAGTCGAATGTTTTCTCTCACATGCAGAAGCTAGTCCAAAGTGAGAGACCAAAAGTGGGGGTCAAATCTCAGAAAAAATAGAAGGGAGATAAGTGGAGATTGAGGGGGAGGGACAGGGACAGAAAAAAGGGGGAAAATGTGGAATGAATTTCAGAGAATTATGCTATGTGCATTTATAAATATACCATAGCAAATGCCACCTTTATGTATATCTATAAGTACCAATTAAAAGCATAGTTAGTAAATAAGAGGGAAATCAGCAGAGTAGAGATCGGGGAGTGGGGAGAGAGAAGGAGAGGGAAAGAGGAAGTACTGGGGACTGAAATGGAGCTAATTAAATTCCATGCATGTATGATTATATCAAAATGATGCCACTGTTACGTTTAACTATAATGCACTAATAAAAGCACTTCTAAAAACAAAACCTGGCCCAGGCCCTAGCATCTTCCACCATGGCCCAGTCTCCCTACTCAACATCTTGTCCTTCAGCTCATTCTTCGCATGTCCACCAGGGTGATGGCTCTAACCCGTAAGCACTGTGCCCGAGGCTTCTTAGCATAAACCCAACTTGAACATGGCAAACTTGGCTGCTGTACTCTCTGGTCTCTGCTCCTCCATAGCTGTGGCTTTCCCTGCTCCAGGTCTTTCTCAAACTACTTCCCTCTTCTCTTCCCTCCTGGCCTGCACACTCCTCTTATGTCTGTGCCTCCTTCAAGTCTCAGAAGTAAGTCTCGGGTCCTGAGAGTGCCTTCTGCACTCTCCTCTGAAATCCTGTTGACCCGTTTTCCTTCTCTGTGGTTCACAGTCTGCCTCTCTAAGTGAGGGGCAGCTCGGTGATGAGCAGATGTAGCATCCCTAGAGCAGAAGTGGACAGCTCTCCCCAGTGCTGCCTCAGTGACCTCACACTGGTAGACTGATGTTAGCCACGGAGGATTATTTACACCATAGACATTGGCCTAGGTTACGAAGCTGATTGTACTTTTCTCCAGAGAGCTGATTAAGTGTTTATGAGCACACTGCTGGTTAGTCCCACAGGAGTGGGGGATATCCTAGTCTGTTCCACAAAACCTGGCTCTTAATAGATTTCTATAAATATTTAAAGAATTAAATAAATAAAAATTGAAACTTTCAGGGTGACCACACTGAATGAATGCATGGGGTATATATGACCTTTGAACCTGACATTTAGCTCATGAAGTTAGGATTGCTTTCCTTATTTTTCAAATGAGGAAATTTAGGCTCAGCAAAGTGACTTGCCTGGGTCACAGAATGAGTAAGCTAAAGGTCCCTTGAGCCTGCATGCTAGGGCTTCTGCTCTGGCAACATGCCAGAATTTCCTGCAGTGTAGGGAAAACTGGGATGGTTGATACCCTATGTGCCACATGACCCCAAGGCACCAGGACCTGAGGCCATCAGAAGAAGTAAAAGTCCAAAGATCTCTGAAGTCACAAGAACCACTCCCTTAGGTGAGCAGAGTGTCTGCATCCTAACTTTACCTTCCTGATCACACCATGTCTGTATCCCCATCCTTGGTGGCTGATCCAGACCAAGGGTAAGCAATTTATTTTATCTAAGCCTATGTTGACACATCTACCAAAAAGAGATCATGAGGACCAGCTACATTATTTGTGGGGTTCAGTGCAAAAAGAAAGAAGTGGGGTGGGGGGGATCTTTTAAAAAAATTTTTAGGATTTCAAGATGGCAGCTGAGAGCATTAATCCAAGTACAGGGACCTTCTGAATGGGTGTCTATGTGACAGGTCGCAACCCGTGGAGCTGGCCTGGAGATAATAACACCCATTATGCACAGTGTGGGGGCTCCATGGCCCCAAATATTAACAGAATTGAGCACAGTGCCTGGCCCAGGGAAAACATTTGGTAGACAGTGGTGATTATTATATTAGATAGTGGCCTAGCTTCCCCTGGTGTGCGTGGTCTCTCCCAGGACAGATACCCAAATTTTACCTCGATACTGGCATATATTGGGTGATCTTTGGTAAGTCCCTTTAGCTTCTCTAGGCTAAGTTTCCCCCTCTATAAAACAGAGGGATTGCAGGGAAATCTCCAAAGAGCTTACAGGCTCTAAATCTGTTTTGGCCAACTCCGTGACATTTATACATATGAGCAAGGTCTTAATGTTCTTTTGAAAGCAGTTTCTCCCTCTTTGGGCTTGTTGTGCCGATTCTATTTGGACTTCAAGTTCCATTCACATTGAAGAGTCTCTGCCTCCAACCCTGAATACATAAATCAAGGGTTCTTAGATTATTTCTAAATCTCCTTTAATTCAAAGGTCAACCCATTTTACTCATGAGTCGTCTGAGGCTTGGGAAGGCTGACTGACTCACCCTGGGGCCAGATAATGAGATAGGGGAATAATGAGGAAGGGGGATATAGGAATGCAGTGTTATAATCTTTCGTTTCTGGCTATGGGAACACCAGGGGCTACCTTTATGATTGTACTTTGCAATTATTCTTTCTTCAATAAAAAAGTTTTTTTTTACTGGGCTTACTAGATGTTTTTTTTTTTTTTTCCCTGAAGTATACCCCTATTTTGCTCAAACTCTGGGCCCCCTGACTACTTAGGGCTTTATGATTTCTCAGTAGTTTTTATTAGGTAAGGATAAAGGCTTCCTCTCCTCCCAGTGGAGGGTAGGATTTCCAGAGCCTCTTTCTCACGTTTCTGGAACTCGGGTAAATAAGCAGATGTTCCTTTAAAGGAGCATTTTCTTAACCTTTTGTTTCCTTCCATCTCCAGTGGTCTTTTGGGGATATCTAGTCATCCCTTAAAAGAAAGGTTGGAAAGAGGGAAGGAATGTTCTCAGCCCTGGGTCTGGTCCACGTGAATTCCCAGGAGGCCTCTCCAGGGGGCATCTGGTCATGTGCCTGATGGTTGGAAATTTTTGAACTTTTCCCAAGAGGGTGAGTAAAAGGGGAAAAGTTTTTATCAGTGGAAGTCCTGCTGCTCCCTAAAATCCTGCCTGGCCTCATCTGTGCTGGTCCTTTCATGGCTGAGTCCTGGCTGGGCAATGGATCTGCCTTAGTTTTTAAGCATTTTTTTTTTTTTTAATTTAAGGTTGCCCTTTTAACATGAACTGGCGCAGGCCCAGCCGAAACACGTATTGCTTATTGGGAATGACGGTGCTTTTATTGTTTGGGGGCTTGCTCTTTTCTTAGTTTAATCCAACCTTTTCCTGCAGCAGGGCTGCTGAGTGACAGCCTTCGGAGTCAACTGGTGTCACCTTTGACCTTCAGAGACAACTCAGGGGACCTCCCCTTTTCTCCATTTTTCAAGCAACCCAAAGGCTCAAATTCTAAGGAACCACGATTCGACCACCAGCTAGAGTCCACCTGCCAGTGAGGTCTGCAAACTCAGAACAGCTTCCGGTGGCCACTCTCCTCTTTTCCCACAGGACTATGTAACCACCTCTCTAGAAGACAGTCACGTGAATCTGGGGCTGCTATGAATTTACAACTGGTATCGGGCCAGCATGAGAGCTGCGACGCTTGGAGTGAAAGGCGGGGGTGGTGTGGCCTTTTACAAAACAAAACCAGAAAGTCCTACACTTTTTTTTTTCCCCCTTAAAATCCCAATTTAGAATCTAAGTTTTCACCAATGTCAGAAATGGATACTTTCTGCTTCCTGCCCACTCTCTTGACGCAAGGGATGCATCTACTTGTAGAGTGCTCGTGCAGTTGTAGAAAGGGAGATGATGGGGGCCTGTGTGCGAGGGCCTAAGGAAAGTCCTGCACTTACCCCATGTGTGCAGAGAGGGCATCCAGGGTGACATGAGTCTCGTGTCCCCTCACATGCTCCCAAGACTGCATGTGCACCCAATAGCACAGGTAGTTATTATTTTCATAAACAGAAAATCAGAAGGGATGTTTAAGTTCTACAAAAATATTCTGGGCCTCGCATCTCTCAGTTATGAATGTCCTTGAGTCTATCTGGGTTGTTTATCTGGGAGGATGTCGGATGTCCTCAGGCCTCTCATTTTAGAGATCAGGAAACGGGCGCCCAGAAAGGTCAAGCAAGTTGCCCAAGGTTGTAAAAGGGAAGAACTCTGTGTAAACAATGTGATTTCCAAGGGATCTTTTCCCATCCAGCTCAGCCAGGACTAGAACTGGTTTTTACCACACATGGTCAGTGGGAGGTAGGGGTCTTTTTTTTTTTTAAGAGCAAGTCCACTGTGCACTAATTGGCTCTCGGTCAGCTGTCTTTTCTCCAGTGGTGAGGCCCCCTCTTAGCTGCCCAGCATCTCTCTCTCTCTCTCTGGTTTATACTTTAACAATGAAGAAAAGGATATCTCAGAAAGCAGAAAACCCAGGAGAAGGCCCTGACAGAAAACAAAAATAAACATGACTCGATCATCTAGATTTTGATAATTTTTTGTCTACTAAAGCAAAACAGAAAGCTTACATGACCGTCGAAGAGAAGTGGCCTATTATTTTGGCCTGGGATCAGACGTATTCTTCATTAAAACATTGATGTGCTTGCTTGCTCTGTTGGTCATGACCCCCCTCTCTGGCTAGTTGGGAAATTAAGTGGAATAAAGACACTCAAATGTCACATTATCATCATGCATTTGCATGGGACTTAACTTGTGAGAACTTTCACACACGGCATGTCAGCTGTCCCAGCACACGTTTGGTGAGGCGTGTGCCTCCGTCTTTACAGATGAGGATATGAGAAGCATGGGGGAAAATGCTCTGTTGCTGCCGAGAATGTGATGAAGTGGCCATCCGTCGTGGGGCTTGAACCTGGGACTTCTTATTCTAATTCAGAATTCTCGTTTTGCCTCATGATAATTCAGCTTTGCTAGGTTGTGAGAAATTCTGCTCTAGGAGCCAGAGGAAGCAGCCTTCCTCCAGGGCAGGCTGGGTGCTTCTGCCATCAGTACCTACACCTCTGACCTGGAGGAGAACAAAGCCATCGTAATGGGGAAAATTAGGACTAAGTAGTTGTATTAAAGGCAGGAGAAATATCAAGCATTATTACATAAAATAAGAACTTTGAGAAAAACCCTCCTCTATTTATGGCACGTTTTCTTCAGATATTTGTCTGATTATGCTGTCAACAGTGGGAGAACAAACATGTCCCAAATGACCTCGTCCCCACCTATTGCTTGGTCCGACCCCTCCAGTGTGTACTGAGTATCAACCCTAAGCAACATAAACAGGAAGATCGAGAACTGCCATTCCATTTTACTTTCTCTGACAAATTCCTAAAGCCTGCCTTAGAAAACATTTTGAAAATATAGCCCCACTCTATTAGGGAACATTTTGACATGAGTTCGTCCTTTGGAGAGAGAAAAGCATACTATTTGGGTAGTGGAAGGTGAAAGCAAACATTAAGCTCTGCTTTTCATGGAGGAACAAAGTCTGCATGATGACAGTCGTATCTGTTAAATCTTTTTTAAGTTTTAGGGAATTGAAACATTTCAGGAAAATAACCGATTGCCCTCTCACAATGCCAGAGGATTTGGTACATAACCTATTTCTGTCATTTACTGAGGGGGAACTGGTGTGTGCTGGGTGCTGGTGGTAGATGGTTTAAGATGCGTTGCCACAAGGCCCAATCCAATGGCAAGTCAAAAGGAGCAGAAATAAACTTTGGAGCAAAAACAAAAGTGATTTTTTTTAAACAGCTGACCTTCAACTGCAATGTCACAGCAGCTCCTCTTCAGAAGGTGGCCTTGCTGTTTTTGGAAGCATGAGCATTTGTATGGAAATAGCACATTCCCAGATCTTTGCTCAAACCTTGGTCCTGACCATCTCTGGGTCTGTCCCACAGGATAGGAGCAGGGGGAGCTGCTCAATGTCACACACCAGAGCAGTAAGAATAAATGACCTTTCAAAACTGAACACTGGCTCACCAGGCCCGAGGACAAGAGGGGACCCAAGGAGTCCGAGGTTCCATGGCCTGGCCTTTCTGTCCAGTAGATGAAAACTTACCCTGCTTGACACAGCTAACTGAGAAGTAATTTTCTACACCTTCCTTCAGGCAACTAATCCTTGGGGTGGCAACTGCACTGCCTGGAAGGTCTCCTCATTATCGAAGCCAAGTCCCTCATGTGGCATTGCTTGGCCACCACTTTATCTTCCTTCGGTACAGCTGATCACTATTTTCCATTAACACCAAACATTCGAGGACTGAAGTCATCCCCAGGCGTTTTCCTCTCACACCTCTGATCATTGCTCAGACCAAGATGGCAGCCCTGGCTCCATGATAACCCCAGAGTTCCCCCAGAGAACAAGCTTTTCTTTAGCTACACACCTTCTCTTTTTTCAACTATCTTCCCTCGGGTCACTGTCTGGGTAAGAGAGCTAACTAATTCCTCTCAGGAGATTTTGTTGAAGCTATAGTATCACACAAGAAACAGAATAGAGGCTGAGGAGGTTTAGATGATGACAACCACAGAATCCTGGCACTGATTGATTTTCTGCTGTGGATGAAGTCCCATAACCAGGGTTTCCACAGGGGACCCACAGGTTAACCCTCATGGGAGTTCTTCAAAGGGGATTTGGCTATTGCTATTTTTGAGGAAATGGAGCCTGAGTTCTAGTGTAAGTCAAAGGACTGACTTGGTGTCTTGGTGATTCCAAGACTCTACTCAGCCCTAAGGCCACTCAGGGGGGGCAGGGACCAGTGACATGGTGAGTTCCATCCCACACTTCTGTTCTTGCATTTTCTTTGTCTGTTCCTCCTCTGTAGCCTCAAGAACATACTTCCACAGGTGACTCACAAAACACACCCAGGACTCAGTTGGTTTGGGGACTGGCAATCACCTAAGCTATAGCTCCGCTCTTCCCAGAAACAATATCCAGAAACATTGGTGTCCCTACTCCACTTCCTTTTTGATTAGATGATTTCTTCATGCTCCCTGGCTAGGACATCAGTGGTTCTATTTTCTCCTCAAATCTTCCCCAAATATTCCAAGTATTATTCCCATTCTACAGATAGAGACACCTTGTCCTGAGGGCCCTGGGTGTGGGGGTCAATCCCCACATCTTTGGACATCTTGCCTTCCTGCTCCTGCCATTCAGTATAGAGGTGAGGCTGCACAACTCTTTTGTAGCCATCCAGAGAATAGGTCCTGGCAGGGATGCAGACTTTGGAAGTGCTTCTGTCATATACGAGAAGGGCTACAGCACAGAGCAGGGAGGCAGACAGGTTGCAGCCTTCCTTGATCCCACACTGGGCCGAGCCCATCTCCTGGAGTGGCCACATCAGGCCCAGGCATGAAGCTGATCAGGCCACCATCCTTTCTCTCTGTGGGGTAGCACTGGTGGGAGGGAGATGGAGCTGGGCGATCCTCCTCTGAGCCCTCACTTACCTTGTGCTCACCTCAACCTTTGCATTTAATTCTATGACATTAAAAAAAAAGTCCCCTCTTCCCCATTGGCCCATATCTCCTTGAGCATTGGGTCTGCAGTTTTTCATCTTCACCCTCAGCAGGGAGCTTTGGCTAGCAGATATCAACCATTCAATAGGTGTGTGTTGTTACAATGGAAAGAGAAACATTTATGACCCGCATAGATCATGCTTCTCCCTGCAGATATGACAAACTGTTACCTCTCATCAGATGTCAGGATTTGAGGTTGCTTCCTGCTCATGCATGACCCCTGCACTGTGCTGATCCTTTCTCCCTCTGACCTGCCCTCATAGAGGGGCGACCCTAGGCACCAGCAGTAAGGAACCCAGCCGACAGAACCATACAAAGGAGCTTTCTCAGTAGGCTCGAGGGTGGGGAGAGGATGGTTTGAATTATGGTTTTCCAGGGTTTGAAGAGGGACTGTGGGAGTGACACAGAGCAGCTGTTTCCACTTAAAATTGATTAGCAAGTATCACTACAAATGAACTCAGAATTTAAAACAAAACTCCATGGAAACGAGTCATTCTAAATCATTCTAAAGTAGTGGAAGGAAAGAAGTTTCCCGAGCTGATGGCCAAAAAAGATCTCCTTTAGCCCTGCTTCTCCCTCCTGACCGACCAGTCCTTCTCAAGGAGACCTGATAGGGATGAAACGAAGCCATTCTTCCTGTGGACTGCTTGTCACAAGGATGTCACCTGGCTTCAGTAATGCATTGTCTGCAAAGCTGGGGGCAAAGTGACATGCAGCCCAGCTGGCCTGCTCCACTCTGGCAAGACTCACACTTGGAGATTAACCTCAGAACCGCCCGGGGAATCCTAGAACTGGTCCCTCACTGTCTCCACAGTGAGGCGCGCATTGGCTGCTGGGCAGCGCCTCAGCCCTTCCATACCCTGCATACCAAACCAAATACTGTGTGGTTTTAAAAAATGTTCTCATTAGAGTTAAGAGTCTAATTTGTAGAAAGGAACAACCCCAAGGTGTGACACTCAAGGAAATTTTGGAGTCCTGTAGTTAATGGCCGTACAGTTGGGCAGTCTCAGTAGAGGGCCTGATGGGGGAAGTAAATCAAATAAAGAAAATCAATTTTTGAGAATAAATTAAATTTAAAGTGCGTCAGCTCTAGGTCCCGGCAAAGCATAGACAGGCTGTAGTACATCTTCTGGTCATCTAACTAATGGAAGTCACACTTTATTCCTATTACACTGGGCACACATTACCAAGCTCTGATCTCTCTAAAATTAGATTTTTGCAAAGACAGAGTTGGCTCATCCTGACGGGGCTGGTGAGTGGTGAAGGCCTCTAACAGCCACAGGCTGCGTCGGGCAATTCTGTTCAGCTCGGCTCTGTCAAGCACTCTCTGCTGTGCTGTGTGGCACAGTGGAGCAAAACTCAGTGGTCCTCTGCTGCTTTGCACAAAGAGTAAGTACTTGGCTTAGCACCTAACAGATACTTGTCACCCCAACACTGAAAGATGCCACTTTCCCTAAATTCAAAAGCATGTGTTAGGATCCTGGGTCAGGAATCACAAGGTCATAAAGACCCAGGGGTTTGCTTGCCCTTTGGTCAGAGAGATTTAAATGATATTTATGCTCTGTACCAATTTTAGGTTTTACAGTAGCTCCTTTAATTGGAAGAGTTCCCACTTGGGCACAGTTAAAATAGACCCCACGTTTAATGCTGCCCTGGGGTAATGCTAAAACCTGTGCTAATTGCATAATGGTACAGGGAACAGGATCCCAGGGCCCTCTGCTGTGAGGGAAGGAGAGAAAAGGGAGATGGAAACTGATCTGGATGGAGAAAAGAGGCATCCAAATGGCAGCCAGGCAACTGAGGAGAAAGCAGGAGGCAGAGAGGGAAGATGGCAGCACATATGTCCCCTGGGGAGTGGCAGTTATTATAAACTTGGTGCCAAGAGGACCTCTGTTATGTTACTGTGTTTCCCAGAAGAGCTGGTTACAGCAGAGTGACAAGCTTGAGGATGTGCCTGTAGGATTGTGCTGCCATCGATATGTCACATTAATATTAAGAAAATACCTTTTTGTTCCATGTCAGGTATGTGAATGGGAAATACTACACTGTGGGTATTTGATAAACCCTGACCATCTGACATGGACCCCATACAAAAAGTAGTGGTGAAAATTGGCCCTGCTGGGATACAGTGGACACACTAGGAAAGGTGTTGAGAAGGATGATATAGACAATGTT